TAAGGATGAAGTGAACTAATGCATCAAAAGCTTACAGACAGTATCCAGACCAGAGTAAACACGAAATGCTAAAAATGAGCGATGGTATTATCAGGCCTAGATTCAAAAAAGATGCTGCATTTCTTTTTCGGTTAACTGTTGTGTTGCTACATAACTAACACCCCTGCTTAAGTTACATGATTATGTAACTGGCAGGGTTCAGCAGGAATGGCTTGCCTCTGCTCCACGAAGTGTCACCTGGGGTGGCTCTTGCATTCATCTGGGAACTGGACTGGGCTAGAACTTCCAAGATGAATTCACGTCCATGTCTGGGGTGGCTGCAAAGGCTGGGGGTGGCTCCCCCTCTCCAACAGAGCAGTTCAGGGCTTCCAAAGGATGCAAATGGAAACTCCTCTCTCTAGGGTTGGAACTCTTTTAGTGAACTCTAGTTGATATCTTAGAGATGTATATGGTTTCTGCATTGGCTTTTTGTTTAGATGAGCCCTTTATATTATTTCTTTTAAAATCGTTCTTTGGTGCCTCCATCTTAATTTTTATTTATTCATTCGATTCACTCGAAAAAAAAATACAATTCAACATACAGCAGTGAAGAAGCTAAACAACGTTTTGCCCTCAAGGGGCTTACACTCTGTGCAGGAAATAAGTATGTAAGGAAATAAAATTATTTCGGGCTGTGATTGGTGCTAAGGAGGAAACATGCAAGGGCAGTCTTAGATACTGAGATAGGTGGGAAGAGAAACTGCCTTTGAAAAGGTGCAGTTGAAGCCTGGTCTTGAGAGATGAGGAAGGCCAATTTTGAAAAGGGCTAGGGAAACAAGGTTGCAGACAGAATGGATTGCATGTGCAAAGGCCCTGAGGTGAGAAAGACATGGATCTGATGGAAGGTCAGTGTGGCTGGAGGTCAGTGAGGTAATTAGGAGGATGGCCAAAAAACAGAGCAGAGGTCCAGATTATAGAAGGCCAAGCAGTCATTGCAGGGTGCCTGGTTTTGACTTGGAAGGCAGTAGATAGCCAAGGAAGGTTTTTAAGTAGAAAAGTGACACGTTTTATATTTTGGCAAAAGTCACTTGGATTGCCATGAACAAATACATACATTAAGCTTAGTCACCTTGCCCTTAACCTCAAGTAGCATCAAGATTAGTCATTGAGGCTGGCCGGGTAGCTCACTTGGTTAGAGCACGAGCTCTGAGCAGCAGGGTCACTGGTTTGATTCCCACATGGGCCAGTGAGCTGCACCCGAGCTGAGCTGCCGCTGAGCTGCCAATGGGAGGCTGGATGGCTCAGCTGGTGAGAGCGCGTGCTCTTAACAAGTTTGCCAGTTCATTCCCTCATGGGAAGGTGGGCTGTGCCCTCTCCTCCTCCCACCCCCACAACTAGATTGAAAGCAGCGACTGGGCTTGGAACTGAGCTTGCGCCCTCTACAACTAAGATTGAAAGACAACAACTTGACGTGGAGCTGATGGGTCCTGGAAAAAAACAAACAAACAAACAAATGACTTGGAGCCAATGGGTCCTGGAAAAACACAATGTTCCCCTTCCCCAATTCCCCAACACTCTTCCCTTCCCCAATTCCCCACTAAAATCTTAAAAAAAAAAAAAAGTCATTGATAGTATTATAACCAACAGATTTTATTGATGTTGCCTCAAAATGTATCTTGAAAACATTTTAGGTGGGATCTTTTCTGGAAGTCTGCTCTATCAGGTAAATAAGTCTTTTTCTTCAATTCCCTAGAGTATCGCTAGAGCAAGGCCATATTTCTATAAGTTTTGTGAGGATTAATTGAGGTAATGTATGCAAAGTGCTTAGGTGGGGGACACCATTTACTTGGTCTACTACATGTCCCTTGTGCTATGCAGCTTAGCAGCCCAAGACACAACCTCTCAAAGATAAAATATCTATTCTTTCTATGAG